GCCTGTTATGTCTCTGTTCGCCATCGCACACAGTCCACATTACATTGTTATGATGACACATTTAACCGATCGAAAACAACTAATGCACAAATGTTTACTTAAACTGGCCTCAAACTCACTTGCCATTTGCCATTTTCAATATCAGACCTTGTACCATGGAATAGATTAGACTAAATGAAGTGAAACTAAAATATATGCAGCTCGATTGTGGCGCATCGAGTAGTCACAATGACAATTACATATAAATATTAGTTCAAAAAAAAATTATTTCATGATATCAAGTCTTTTTATCAGTCTGTCATAAAAGTATCTAAAGTTTCTTTTCATATGGGTAAACTTTAATAATTAATACTTTCAAATAATTTAAACAATATTCTAGGTCTGTATAATATATTAAATTGACATTTAAATAATAGCTCATTTGTTTAAAAATTATTACGCATTTAAATACTTATAATAAACGATAATTATAAAATAATCTTCATTCGATATTTAATACACAGATAAGAAATTTAAAAGTCGAGTGAGCCTACTAACACTAATACTTTAACCAACACAAACTAGATGTGAGTATAACCTAACAAACTTATCACTGATACTAAGGATGCATGGTAGTATGGAGAGTGAGGTAAGGAGTATCATCTCTGTATATGAAAAGTGTCTGTCGAAATGCATTCAATTATGGTGGCGCCACAGTAGCTTCAGGGTAAATTTTAAAGCAAGCGCCAAATATTATTAGAGTAGGATTGAGAAATAAACAAGGAACACAAATTTCACAACACAAATTTTACTCATAACTGTTTTGTTATTCACATACTTTTTTATAAAATTAAATGATAAAAAATCAATAAACGTACTATTCACAGTTCACGAAATAAAATCACTCTAGTTACACGTTTTCTCATAATAATTCTTTAAGGTTATATTTATTACATTATTTTGTACTACGCAAGTAGTTGAAATTTTCAATAATTAACTACTTTAGTCGCCAATAATATTAAATTTTTTAACTCGGCATACTTTAATTCGTTTACAATTGGTACATTTATACCATACCTTTTGTCTACACTAGCGCCATTCTGGAAGGTTTTTGAACTATTATTTATAGCATATGCTAGACACTTCAAATTTTCTCCCATAAGAGATGTTACTCCTTACCTCTACCCTCCGTACATGGTAGTTACTCTGCTCCTCTATTGCACCTTTAGTTCATATTTTATCCACGCTTGTCACTGCATTGCACGCATCAAGTGCATAGTAGTGAACAGCTTTAATAATGAATAAACGTATTATTTATACTATATTATATGATTACACACATTGTACATAAATCAGCACGCATGTATCCATTTAACATTATATGTATTTTAATTATCTATGATAATTTATTATCATTAATAAACAACAATTAAAAGTATGTTTTTAGTTTACGATTAGTTATAATTCATTATTATTATTGCTTTTATTATTCGTAAATACATGTAATAATTAATAATTTAAATACGTGTTTTTTGAGGTATTTCTTTATTATTCAAAATTATATGCTTGTGTTTATGTATTAAAATAAAATTGTTATTTTATATGAAATTCGTTAATACATTATAGGTACATGAATACTGGGGTTATTAAAACAACAACAACAAAAAGAAATTTTAAAAGTGTGATGCTTGTCCTCCGTGGAATTCAAAATGCAAATTCCTTTATTTTACTGGGCAGCCTTCTTCTGTGCCTTCTATTAACAATTCAAATCAAACAAATTTATGTAAACAATCAAAAGTATAATCGTTATTTAGGATACGAACAATATGTATGATTCTTTATTCCGGTTCTCTTTCAAATATTTTATATAATAATTTCTTTTTCTCTGATAAGATTTATGTTTTTATTATTAGATCAATGAAATATCGAAAGAATTGAAGACTATTGAAAAAAATGCCAATAAATCTTCGATATATGTTCATCACTTAAATGAGATACTTTACAAACATCGTGAAAGAGATATCAAAAATGCTTCGTTGTCACGAATAGCAAAATTATTGCGAAGAGAGACAAACTAAAACAAGGATACACAGTGATGTATTAAATATTTTTTTTTTAATATTTATTTATATTTGTAAATTTATATATATTTATGTATATACATTAATATAAAATGTAGAAATAAACTTTTTATCATGATAGATTATATCACTGAATACATAACAAAATTAACGAGTATAAAAAGAGAATTATTAAAAAAAAGATTATATTTTTTAATCTATATTATATAAAGGCATACATTGTGGATTGTTTTTATAATCACCGGTATTTTCTAATACTCCATGGGGATAACATACCCATGGATCATTGGTAGCTTTTTGCCAATCGAGCAATTGTTTTTGTAAATTAATCACAATATCCTATAAAAGTATGTTTTTAATTAATATTTTGATTATTTAATAATGTACGTAGATACTTAAATCTACTTTACCTTCATTGAAGATTTGAAAAATATATTATTCCTTTCTTCAGGATCATATTTTAAATCATATAGTTCCCATTCTGGTCTTTGATAATATGACTTTAATGTTTTATACCATGGAAGAGGTTGTTTATTACTCGTCCTATTTAGAACATCCTTGTATAAAAAAATAAAAATTATATTAATTAAATTGCAAATATTTTCAATAATCTTTAAAACAAATCAATAACTTATTATAGAAATTACTTGAAAAGTTGGAGATAAATATAAATCTTGATCAATTGGAAAAGGCATCTTATAATTCAAATTATGTATTAATTTATAGCGTTTGGTCCTAATTACACGCATAGGATAATACATAGTAACTTCATGATGTGTTTGACTAGCAAAAATTGGTCTCTCTTCCTGTGGCTCTGTAGAAGTATCAAAATATTTTATAATAAAACAAATATATGATATGTAATATAATATCATTTACCCCCACTACCTTTTATAAGAAGTGGAAGAAGAGATTTGCCTGTAAGATTTGGTAAATTAACTTCATTTTTATTCAATACTTCATTTTCATAAGATATATTATACCAGTCTAACAAAGTAGGTACTATGTCCAATAGAGATGTCATAGCATATGTTACTTGATTTCTTCTTTGTTTATGTATCGGTGATGAAATCATCATAGGTTCTGCTATACCTTGTATCAGATAAAAAAAATTAATAAAATAATCTTTTTCATTAGAATAATATTTATATTTATATTATGCTATTTGTTGAACATACCAGAATCATATAAATTAGTACGACCATTAGGAAACGGAATCCCATTATCAGATGTATAAATTATTAAAGTATTATCTTTATATCCTGCATCTTCGAGCTCTTTTAAAATCAAACCTATGCCTATAAAAATATGAATTCTATGTTATACTTAAAATCATCTAAAATTAATTTGTAAATATTTTTATAAAAAAATCAATCATTCGTTACCTTGATCTAAACGAGAAATCGTTGTATATTGCGCAGCAATATCTCTCCTAGCAGCTTCAGTATTTTGAACAAAATATGGTACTTTTACTTCATCCCATTGATAATATATCGGATGCCAATCAGGAATTGTACCCATTCCAACATCTCCATTACCAAACTTTTCACAGAAATTGCCATATTGTGGATGTGTATGACCACATCGATGTGGGTCATGAAAAGCAATATATAAAAAGAATGGTCTGTAAATAATTATTTTATTATTAAGTAATACGATACTATCCCTCTAAGATAATTTATTCAAAAAAAAAAAAAAAAACATACTGTGTTTTGTTCTGGGAAAGAAACTCTCTGGCTAAAAGTTTTATTTTAGTGATATTTCGTCCTACTTGTAGTATATCATTATTCTCTTCAGTATGCGAGAAGTCAAATGGATATATTTTATCTGGACCTACGTGTTTTTTACCGATTATACCTGAACAAAAATTGATTTAAAATCTGTAGTAGAATATTGCAATTTTTGTTATTATTTTTTCATTATTTTTATATATACCTGTTCTAATATGATTTTTCTGCAATATTTTTGGCAAACTTTGAATATTATTAAATGAATTAAAATGATGGACACCATTATGTAATCCATACATTCCATTTTCATGACTTGGTAAGCCAGTTAACAATGCAGCACGACTATAAAAAAAATATATACATTTATATACTATTTGATTAAATTATAATAAAAGAAAATATTTTATAATTATTTTATATTACCTAGGAGAACAGCTGCTAACTGAAGTATATGCATTATTAAATAACAAACTTTCTTTTGCTAATGAATCTAAATTGGGTGATTGACAAATTTTATTTAAGTAAGATCTCATTTCAAAACCAGCATCGTCAGCTGAAAATAGAAAATAAAAAATCTTATTAAATCAAAATATTCATATATAAATTTATCTTACATCAAATTGGGGATTCATTTTTAAATAAAATAATATAGGAATTAAACAATACGTACATTATTTAAATATTAATGTATATAATTATTATTTTATATTTAATTATAAAAGCATATGGTGAAAGTAATCATGTATCCCATACAATCATAAAAATATGTGTATTATATATTATAACAAAGTTATGTATATGAATAAGACAATAAATCTTATACAATAAGATATATTTAAATGTTATTGATAAATTTAATTATTTTAATTTAAAAATTAAATATATACAAAAAAGTATGTAATAATTATAATCAAAAAAAAGAAATAAAATATATTTATTTACCCAAAAGTAGAAGAACATTTTTTTGTTCTATGGCTTGATTAGCATCTGCATAATAAAATATGAATACATTAATAAACAAAAAGTAAAATAATATATCATTATTAAAAATCCAACGTGACATTCTTCAGAAAGAACTTTCAGAAACTGGAGTCAGTCGACCATGTTATTTAAAAACACCAATCAGAGAGCTCAAAATAATCCAGATATGTTTTGATTGGTTATTACGGTATGATGCAGTGCATGTGAAAGGGTTACTAGATGCGCAGAAAATATCTCAGATAGATCATTTTGATATCATCTATTATGTTATCGTCTGCTATAGTTATCTTTAATAAACACATACTAATACACATTTATAGGAGCCACACTGAATGATTAGACACAATTCTATACAATTGTTAGTGATTATCAAATTGTGATATTACGGATAATACCATATTATTTTAAAGTAGAGAGATAAATACATATTCTAAGATATTTGTAATATCATGGCGAAAAGGATTGTAATATTCGGAGCTACGGGAAATACCGGACTCTGTGTTTTAAACCATGCCGTAGAAAAGGGTAATTTGTATTAATTAAAAATACCATTCAATTATTAATGAAACTATTGTTATATTTGTCAAATGGAATTTTCAGATACATTTGTACTTGTATCGTGCATGACAAAACATTATTTCATTGTTTCTTAATGTTCTTCTGTGTAATGTAAATTTAAAGTTACAACTCTGATAAATTAATTTATACAATTTAATTGATTTGCTAAATGTAAAATTTTCTACAAATCTTTTCAATACTATTATTATAATTATTTATACTATCTACATTATAAATATATATGTTTAGTTATAATCTGTCTAATGATTCTATATATTTATTCTTTTAAAAAAATGAAAATTTATAAAAATATTTACCTTTTATAATAATGTAGTTACTTACTAATTGAAATCAAATATTATTATACTTGTACGTGTTAAAAGTTATAAATTTGAATATATGTAATTTCTGATATTTAATATTTATCAACTTTATGAGATAAAGAAAAATAAAAATTTAATAATGTCATTTGTCTATTTAATATTTATATTATATCTTTATAACTTGCTTTTATGTTATTCATCCATCTCAATATTTGAAATATAGAGTTCCTAGTGGTATTATCATTATCATCATGCTATATTTGTATACTGTGGAATATAAAAAATCATCTTTTTACAAGCAAACATTAACGCTTTGCTTTATATAATGATTTTGATCATAGAAACTTAATACCTAGTAGTAGAAAAATAAATTATCTTAGGTATGGATGTAAGAGTTCTTGTAAGAGACAAAACCAAGATACCGGAAAACATTAAAGACAAGGTGGACACAATTGTTGGGGATGTCACCAACGACACAGATGTTTCAAAAGCTGTAGCTGGTAGAGATGCTGTTGTTGTTGCACTTGGCACTAGAAATGATCTTAGTAAGAATGATATTATTATTACACTTATAGCAAATATGTACTTTACTTATTCACATATGAACAAATAATATGTTTATAAATAAATATTTCTTTTCAATTACCATAAGAACCAACTACCATGCTATCGGAAGGTATGAAAAATATATTAGACGCTATGAAGATGCATAACGTTGAATTGGTTTCCGTATGTTTGTCAGGTAAAATATCATTTTAAGATTATTATCAAACATGCTAAAATTCTATTTTAAAAATAAAATTTGTTATATTTTCTTTCATGTTTTTTTTTTTTTTATAGCATTTTTATTCTATAAGCCTGATGCTGTACCAGCTATATTCAAAGATTTGAACGCAGATCATCAACGTATGTTTGATCTTCTGAAAGAAAGTGGATTAAAATGGATTGCTATATTACCACCACATATTTCTAGTAAAGAAACATTTTCTTATTGATTTATTGATATCTTTTAAAATTCAATAAATCTAATTTTGTTATTATAATTATTGCAATTATTTTACAGGTTCAAATAATTTAGAATATGTTATAAAACACGATGAATCACCAGGTCGTGCCATTTCAAAATACGCTTTGGGTGCATTTCTTGTAGATTGCCTTGAACAATCAGATCATTATCAAAAAATATGTGGTATTGCAACTAGCTCATAATTATGAATTATGGTCTTGTAGATAAATATATGCACAATATATTGTTAGTATTGTAATCTATTTGTACATTATTCACACAAATCAGTCTTCTGAAAGTATGATGGAAAGCATAATAAAATTGATCGATTCAATTATTATATAAAAATAAATATGTATGATATTGTAAGATATAATTATGCTAAGTGAATTACCAAAATAAAATTTTAATCTATCAAAATGTCTAATTCAAAAGCCATCAAAATAACAGTTAATGTATATATACAAAGCGTAAAAAGAACTTATTCTTATACAAGTTTTCTATTAGCTTCTAATATATAAATATAAACATTGGTACACTAACATCTTACATATTGATTTAAATAATGTGATCAAAATTAATAAAATATACATGCAGGAAATATTTGTAACATTTAATACTTGAAAACATAAAATCAATCAATCAACTGTGTCATATATTAGTCATAGATCACTCGGGAACAATCAAGGATTATCATTTTGGATGACTATCTTCATAAAAATAATAAATTCAAATGCAAAAAAGGTATTTTGAAAAAATCTATAAAATATAATTATCATAATTTTTTAACCATATGTGTTTTCTGTGATAGCATTCTTATATCAAAATATTCAAACTCTAATTGTGGCATTGGAGGGGGTGGGGGACCAGAAAAAGTAGTAATTTTTTCTTTATGCTTTGCTTCGGTTTTGGTAATAGGAGGTACAAATTTTTTAAATCCACACGTTTCGATGGGGTCACAAATCTTATATCCATTTTTAATATAAAATATTTCTTGACCTTTTGTTATTAAGTGTACCCTTTTAATACCTTTCCTTGCCACATATTCTTCCGTTCCACGTAACAATCTAGATCCCAATCCTTGAGCTCTGGATTTGTTATCAACTACAACTGAAATACAAATATAAATCATATCAATATTTGTTTTAATATTTTTAAATTTTTATAAAAGTAATCATATAAAAAACTACCTGATTCGATGTAACAACTATGACGTACTTTAGGTATCAAAGAAACTTTGCAATGACCAAGTACTCGACTTTCTCTATCTATTAAAATCAGACACGTAGGAAATTCATCACAAGATACTCTTAAAGATTTTAATCTAAAATAACAAAAAAGGAAATATTAGTATAAATGAAGTGAGAAATGTTGCTTTAGATAATACTTTAGTAACACTAGGAACTATTTTATTCCAATATTTAAAGATATAATATGTAACTTACCGAGCTGTTTCACTTCTTGGCCATTCTGAATTGAGTAATTTACAACATTCTTTAAGTAAATTTGGCCTATGGTGAAGTGGAATGACATCGTACCATATATCTGTATATACATCATTTGACATTTTCTATAAATAACATATTAATTAGATGTCATGATTTTATACATAGATGTATAAATAAATTAATTATTTAATATAATACTAAATTAGAAAACAATTATATATGTAAATAACAATAACAGAAATTGTAATTGATATATATATTTTTATATGTAATACACGTACAGTACAAAATTATTTATATAAATATATAATTTTCTATTAAACATATGGACAATTAAACAAACTTCATAGATAATAGATTTAAAATTTATTATGAAATAAATAATTTACAAACAATAGAATAAATATTTAGATAAAATTTCAAAAATATTAATTATGACTCATATATTACAATTATATTAGAAATACTTATTTAATTATGGCTACTATATGACAGTGTATATTTGTCATGTATATCGACCACTAAACAAGTTTCCATTTTTATGACATATTAACTATAATATTTAAAACATTTTTTATTTTTTTAAATTTGGCAATGTGAAAAAAAATGAGTGAGAGCAAAAAAATCTATAAAAATTGTATAAAAACAAAAAGGTCATGTTCACAAGTGAAACGATATTAGATCATTGTAGCAGGTGCTCGATTAATTGTAAAATGTTCTTACCCCTTATTTCTTTTTTTATACAATAAAAACTTGACACACTATTCCGAAAGGTCACTGTTCTCCACCTGCATACAACTTGTGCAGAAATAGGAATCAAAATCAGTTTCACATTCAGCACCAGGAGATAGATATTTCCGTTAAAACTGTATCCCCACCGTTATGTAAAATTATATTCTTCTACCACGTCTCATAACACACACTTTTAATTATCATCTTTTAAATATGTTCATAGCCAAACGTCTCGTTCTTATTTCAGGTGACTGAATATATTAACATAGTTAATAAACAGTAGATAATTTTTTAATAAATACAAAAGAATTTATCTTTGAAAAGTTACCATTATTTTAAAAAGAAAAACTGATAATAGCTGATACACTAGCGACGATCAAGCACCAATTTGTTAAGCAATCAATATGTCAAACTTAATCATTCTTTATTTACAACATAATTGCATACAGTTTTTTTCGCACATTTTTATGCTCATTTACTGAGTAATTTTATAATATTAATAAAAACGTCTGTGTGTGTGTGTATGATTTTTGTTTTTTCCAAGAAATTTCATTGTACTTTAGGACGCCATTTAATAAGATAGATTTCCATCAATTTTATATTTACTGTATATTTTCTACTTTCTTAAAAAAAAAAAATAAACAATTCGTATGTACATACACATAGAGAAAAGTGTATAAGATTATTTAATTAATTCAAAATATGTATTAATTAAGTATAAAAATGAATGTGAGAGATATGAGAGATTTGACAGTGAACACGTTTTAATCGCACATGTCTCTTGAGCAATGCCGGGAATCTCCCGCCAAATCCGATTGACTGTCAAGTTGCTTCAACGTATTTAATATATTTCCCCTTTTGATTTTTTCATTCTATTCTTATCCTTCAACAAGATTCTAACGATATATTTGTCCGTTACTCATCTACTATTATGTACGAACTTTAAGACCTCTTTCCGGATCTCGACTGTCCCATTTTTCTTAATAACCTTCATCCTAAATGTGGACTTGGCCTGCATTTATATATATATATACACATATATATAGAAACATTTTTCTTCTCGGTTTATTTTTGCATGTATTGTATACACATACACGTTCTCTTTAAAACACGTGCATGATCAACTCTATTCGCAGATTCAACGATGCGAAAAATGCAACAAAAAATTTTCCTGCATGTGTGTTTCGTTTCTTTGTGCTTTTGTATGTGTATGTGATGACATCACATTATATGATCTCACAGATTCTCTTTCTTTCTCTTTTCTTTCTCTCTCTCTCTCTTTATTTTATCTTACGTCATTAAACCTGACATTCTGTCCAACAAAAGAAAAACGAATACTCTTGATGGATTTTCGAACGCGCTTAACGTATTCGTATTTTCGCGCGAACCAACATACAGCCATTTTGTATATTGTATATTGAATCCTGTCAAAAAATAATTTATTAAATTTTGATTATAATACACTAAACAAGAACGTGTTTGAATAATTTTTATCGTTTTTATCGGAAGACAAAATCTTGTTAACAACAAATTTCTTCGTCGTTGATTCGTTAAAGTGATATTTACAAAAAATAGTTTATTTGTAAATATTTGTTTAGGTATTATCAACTAACAGGTGCATATTCGAATGCATCGAGTGGTGCATATATTTGATAGTGTATACTATACATTGTATACACAAGATTCTAATACCTATTACCACTTGGTTACTGTTAGGATAAACTGAGTTAGATGGCAGTGTAGGCGTAACCTATGTTTAACGAAGCATCGCTTCGTAATATAGTGCATATACGGTGTAGTACGATAATAATTTGTGAAAAAATGGAACAGCTGATTCGTGTTAAGTTAAATCATATTTATAATAAAACTATGTTAATCGGATAAATCTAATCGTTAATTTTAATTTAGATCGTGTTATTAAATGGTTATTCTTATCAAGAATATGTGGATATATAAATGAAATTCTTTACGGCTTTGAACTTTTATTAAACTATACACTGCAGTTTGAGTGTAAACATGGCCGTCGTTATGCATTGTGATGATCATTGGCTTCAATTTATATCCAAACACGTTTTACAGTATAAATATGGAAATGATGGGTGAAAGGCATGTTTAAAAAGGACCAAGGTACTAAAATTCATTTTCAGTATTAATTGTTTCAATGTTTCCATGTTAATATTCGATATAGGTCATTAGATCTAGTTTTCTTTCTATCATTTTAATATTTTGCATTTGGAATATATTTACTTGTTACAGTAGAGAATGATTTGTTTTTTCTTTTATTTTTACGTTAATACGAAAAGTAGAATTTTTAATGATAATATCCGTGATAAAATATACTTGCTTTTATCATTTGAGTATGTATTCAGTGTTGTTTTGTTTTTATACTGTAGTAATACTTCAATGTGACAGTAGGGTATTTAAATTTTTCAGTAAATTTACAGATTTACTTATATAGATAATCACTTTTAATTTACGTCTTTGTTAAAAAATTATAGATCAGAAAATAAATAATTATTGTTATATAATAAAGAATAATTTTGAGTATTTTAATATGATTATTTCAGGTTGGTAGTTGAACTATGAATGTATTGAGGATTTTAACTCCATGTGCATTGCAAAGTAGAGAAACAAGGGAAACAAATAGTGATAATAAAAGAGGTTGCTGGTTCATGAGTGGATGGGGAGAAGATGCTTCTCATATGATCCGTAGAATGGGTGCATCCGCATCTTCAAGTGTTCCAAGCGTTGGTGGAGATTCGGTTCAAGCAGCTAGACTTTCGCCCTCTGGCAACTACGATCAACATGGACTTGCTATTAGGTATTAAATATTCTATTTAAAAGATAAAATATTGAATAAGCTGATTATGCGATCAATTTGTCTATGTCTTTTATTATAGAGAAAGAAAAAAGAAAATGACAGGATTTGCTACACTGCGTAAAAAATTTATTAGAAAACGTCGTTCATCTAAAGTATGTGATCACGGCAGGATTTTTAGAGACATGATATCGACATGGAGCCATTTAGAAGCAATAGCACTATTAGAAGAGTATGAAGCCTTAGCCGCTTTAAAGGATCTTCATGTTCAAGCAGAATTAGCTAGACCTCCAGCTGCTACATTTAAACAAGATCTATCTTTACTGTACGATTACAAGCAGTGTTCAGATGCCGATCTTGTCTATCAAGGTGCATGCTTTCCCATTCATAGGGCCATATTATCCGCACGTTGTCCATATTTTAGGGATTTATTAGCAGGATATCCTGGTACATATATTCAAAATGTCTTCTTTCTATTAATTATTTTACAATTTTTAAATAATATATTTTATATACATCTTTATTATTTGATTTTATTGCTGTAGGTTATGGTGCTCGAATATGTTTAGATTTGAGAACACCTAATTTAGAAGTTCAGACATTCTCTGCTTTATTGCGATACCTGTACACTGGTGATATTTGTCCACATGATGCAACATTTGGAACAAGTATATTACAACGACTTGGGGAAGAATTTGGGTCATTAAATCCTTTAGAACAAGATCTTAGATATTTACTCGATACTGGTGATTATGCTGACGCTGCATTAGTATTTACATCAGACAGCGATTGTCAAAGACCAGACAGTGGCTGTTCTGAATACGGATTTCGACCAAAATTAGAGCTACCATGCCATAAAGCAATACTTTCTGCGAGATCGCCATTTTTTAGAAATTTGATACAAAGGCGTACTAAGTCAGGAGAAGATCGTACGGAAAGAACGTTACATATACCTACTAGAATTATTTTGGATGAAAGTGTAATACCGAAAAGATATGCTAGAGTTTTATTAAATGCTGTTTATTTAGATACCGTCGATCTCTCATTAATATTGAGAGGTAATGGTTGTGGAAATAGTGCAGGTAGTCTTGGTGAGGTAATTATATTATTTATATATTCATATTATTACAATATAATATTTCTTATACATTACAATACAAATTAATAGGTGCAAGCCTTAACTCATACAGGGAGAATGAGACCAAGTCCTTTAGAAGAAGCAATGGAATTATATCAAATTGGTAGATTTCTTGAGTTAGATATATTATCTCAAGGCTGTGAAGATATTATTCTAGATTGTTTGACGTTAGAATCACTTCCAACAGTACTCAGGTAAGTTTATTTTAAAAATAAAATAATATTATCATGCGTATATTAAATGCAAGAATACTTTCAGACATAATATTTTATTTCTGTTAACAAAAAATAATTATTCTTTCATTCTCTTTTATAGATGGGGCAGTCAACCCCATGGATCGGCATGGGTTCATAGACAAGCATTACATTATCTAAGAGAAGAATTTCAATCAATCGCTTCTTCGTCGATTCTTCATCAATTGGATCATGCACATTTAGTTAATGTTTTGCAAAGTCATTTTCTACAAGCAAGTGAGTTGGAAATATTACAGGCAGTTTTAAAATGGGGCGAACATGAATTGGTTCGACGTATGGAAGATAGGGAACCAAATTTATTAAATCATACGGTACACTCTGTAACAAGAAAGGGAGTTAAAAAGAAAGATCTTAGTGATATTGAATTACGAGAAATACTTAGTGAACTACTACCACTTGTCAGAATTGACCATATCTTGCCACACAACAGTGAATTATTAACTCAGGTGAGAGATATTATTTTTTTAATAAGTAAACATAAGATATACATAACTAGTATTTTTTATATATAAAGTCATTTAAAAAAGAATATAGAAGAAAAAGAATAAAATCATTAATTGTTTTGTTATTTATTATTAGGCTATCAGAAGAGGCTTGGTTTCTACTCCTCCCAGTCATATGATAGGAGATGGAAGAGATAGCATATATACAAATGCTTGGATAAGAGGTGGAAAGAAGAATGGATTTTTTGTTAGACCAAGATTATTCATGCCTTATTATGAAGAAATTAAGGTAAGATAATTATATTTAATATACGAACAACTTTATAATGAAGTATTTTCTATTGAACGCATATTGAATTCGTATTTTATATTATAAATACATTTATTGTTTCATGAATTTTTTATAGTCTTTAGTCGAGGAACAGATAGTTCAAGATACAGATCTTATCAGATTGCAAAGAACACGGTATGTTGCGGATATACCAGATGCATTATATATGGTTGATGAAAAACCAAGAACTATGGGCACTGCTGGTGTAGATGTACTTGCAGCTGCATTTCCAGGTACTTTTTATATTTTCATCTTATTTAAATAATCTTTTGAAATATTACATTTTCTTTTATTTCAATTACATTTATATATTAATTAGTTTTAAATAATATCTTACATAGGAATGTATATTGTATATGTTATGTATAGTTTTTCTTTTTTTTTTCTATAAATAAACACTATGCTATTTATTGTTTAGTCTGTTACAATTATATTACATTATGAACAATATTTAGTTCCAGATTCATCAACAATGGCTGCTATGCTTAAACGGGAACAAAAATTAAGGCAATCCCCAAGTTGTCTACGAGCTATAGATTTACCTTTATCTTCGCGAAGCGAAATTAATAGGCAAGTGCGCCTAAGAGTCGTTAGAGAGTTCAATTTACCGGATGCGGTAGCTGATATCTTAGAAGTGAGTGTGATTTATTTTACTAATTTAAATAGTTTAATATGTAATATTGATTACATATTCATATTCCAAACGTATTGTTTATAATCGTAAATAATGATATAATACGCATCATAGTTTGAACTACCTTTTAATTTAAATCAAATATTAATTTATTTTAATAACCAATTCTTTTTTGCAAATATTTTCACTATATGTAATAATTTTTGATTGCCTATATTGTTTGATTCTATTTTACTCAAATCTACATTATTATCATTATTTTTCAATTCTGAACGACTGATTCGAGTAGCTTGTATTACTTGAACCATAAAAATGCACTGTGAAAATTTACTATGTGCATGTTTATTCAACAATTCTAAAAATTTACTTTTACTGTAATGTTCCGTATTGATTTTTAATTTTTTTAAAACGTCGATAAAAGTATCGTAATATAAATCAATCATATCATCTAAGTTATTATCAAGAACTTCTTTGTTAGAGCTTGATAATAAGAAAAATATAAGATCTTCTATGCCATAGCTATAAATGCAAAGTTGAAAATCAACCATTTTTAAATCAATTATATTACCAGAAGCATCATGACGAAACAACATATTGTTAACCCAGAAATCATTATGTACAATTGTTGCCCACAAATCTTCTTTATTAATTACATTATCCATGTTGTTAGATTTTAATGTAGCTTCAATACTTTCTAAATATGGTTTAGCCTCTTCTATACGTTTTAAAGTTTCATGAGCTTTATTAATCATATCCATAACACCTTTCATTGCAGCTTCATTAGCTGGGGGTATTAGAGTAGGTAGTACAGTGTTTTCAAAGAAATCTCGTCTCTTGATTCTTAAACCAATTGTCATTGCATGAAACTCAGCCAATTTTTGAACACCAAATTTAATATGATCCAAATCCATTCCCATAATTCGATCCTCTACTGTATAACCAGATAATTTGAGATTTTCTAAAATAATGGCAGCCTGGGAATCAAATTTATCAGGATTTTTTAAACCTAATCTTCCCCCAATGAAACGTGGTACGAAAAATTCATTTTTCACATTAAGCGAACGATAAATATCCGCAAATACTGGTACAACGTCACTATAAAATTTCAATTCTTTTTTAAATGTCAATGGACAATTAAATAAATCCAATAGATGGGGAGATTCTGGTGGAAGTTTAACAACTAAGTTCATCGTGTTTGATGAAAAATTTTCTATGAAATTGACAGTAACTGCCACTATAAGACTGCCAAAATTTTCTCCTGGATCAGTTAAATGTTTCCATGTTACGTGTTTTATTTCTAAATCAGACCCAAACGATTGTCTCATAAGCCCCTCAAAGTCTTCTATTGGTAGCGATGTTTTTAGTTCGCACATTTTTGTCCTATAACAAAGTATACGATATTTTTTTATCATTATATATTTAAATGAAAATATAAATGATATTTTAAAATATTAGGGTTGATTATTTTGTTGTTGTTGTCAAAATAATCGCGATTTACGAATTAAATAATAAAACAATTAATGTAACATTTAATTTAACAGTATACCTACGTTATGTTAGTACAAAATGTTTACTAATTAAAAAAAAATCGAATGGGAGTGTTGAATACAATAGATCTGATGAAATATCAATGATTATTACACTCATTTTTATCTATCGATCTTATTTAAAATATGATAAAACTATATATACATTTATATCTGTATATATATCTGTATATATATATATTTATTTTTTTTATTTATTTCTTAGATAATATCAAGAGTTTGTAAATAGATATTTTATATCATAGTTGAATTGGATAATAAATTTAAATCTACTCTAATTAATAACAAAGAATGTATAAATAGATAAATTTATACAGAATCGACATGTATTATCCTGAACATGTAAATGACATCTTTTGTGTCGTTTATAATGAATAAAAAATAAGAACTCTCGCTCGCGTTAGAATCTATCGGTTTTGCGTTGCATTGTCTTCGGCGTTTAATACATGAATATTTAACAGCTAGGAACTATTTAACATAAGTGATAAATTTCAAACAAAAGTTCTTTATCTTTCTCGGAAATAAGTTTTTACGATACATATATTTATTTAAATATGCCGATAATTATAACAATGAACTAAGTAGCAAAATTTAACAAAATTATTCATATGATTCATTTTATAATATATATTATTATTATTATTATTATTATTATTATTATTATTATCAATTATTTCAAATAAAATTGATCTGATATTATAATAACATAATAAAAACGCTATTAATCATAATGATATAAAGATAAGAGAATTTATCACATAAAATAGCCGACATAAGTGATTGGTATAATCTGTCAATAAATTGATACGGGAAATCAACTTATAATGATGACCTAGTTATAAAATAATTATTTTTTATCATAATACTTACTTCGTTTATCTTTTTTTCTCTTTTTCTCTTTTTCACACACACACACTCTCTCTCTCTCTCTCTTTATAAGTATAGTTATCTTATAAAGGTTTAAATGAAAAAATTGGTACTTGCACATGTGATATATTCGTACACGATTTAACCACAATAAACAATTTAATGATTGGATAAGACCTATCGTATACCGAGAAGTATGTTCTTCGTGGATATCTTATCGGTTGTATAGTATTTATCCTTTTTTTTTTAAATATCTTTAAGTTAACACAATTTCTACGTTTCATATGAAAATAAATAAATAATTTGGATTATCTTACAGGTTTTTTCCTCGTTTTTTTTTCTTTTCCAAATTGATTTAAATCGCGTAATTAACAAAAATTCTATTTTACATTTCTTTTTAGATCAGAAAATTTATTTCTAGGCTTTATATATATATATATTCCTATTATTGAAACATTTCAAATAAAATTAATTTATAAGACAAAAAAAAACTTACAATTCAAATGTTGTTCGTTAATGCTGATCGGTAGAATGTTTTTAACAGAATATTCGAAAATTCTAATGTGCTGATGTGTGCTGTGCAATCTTGCATGAGAACAAAAATGATCTAAGCCATTTTCTAAGTTATTTATTAGGATAGACATGCAACGAAGTTTAATTATTAATTTTAAAATCGTCACTTGTTTTTTTTTTTTAGTTACATTTTTGAGATATTAATCGTATAAAATTTATCCGATAAAAATATAAATTGTTGACAAAATTAAAGAAAAATTTGATACATATATATTAATTACATACAATTAAAAGTACAGTAAATTGTCTTCGATATTATAGAACGTTTAAACACAATAATACATTAAACTGTACTGTTAATGGAACTTATTTCAACATTTGCAAGTCCGAATTGTGTAGGTCACAGAAAATCTATTTAAAATTCTCTTGTATAAATTAGAACACGTATGCAAATAAGTTATTAATGAATATTTACTCAAACTATAATGACGATTATCTATGAAAGAATAAATTTTAATTAGTTAGGATAAGTTAAAATAAATTAAACAAAAGGATCAGCGAATTTAACTTGTTCCATTTAAATGATTCGCTTAGCAAATACGCGAAATATTTTCAAAAATAGCTTACTATTTAATTTTAACCAGCGATGAAACTTAGAAACTTCGGAATACTTGAGTAAAAAATCGTGTGAATATTATCATCTATCAATATAATGAAATGTTTGTTTAGTAATTGAACGCAGACTCACATGACAGATCAGTTAGGCGCGATGGAACTGCAAGAACTGAGAGACAAGCTTTCAACTCGATGCGTCTGACTTTGACCTTTGTTTTCCCCCCATACTATACTCTATTAATGACATCTCTATTTTTCAACTAGTTGCATTCGCTGGATTAAAGCCAGAGTTAGGTTGCAGCAATGGGACGTTATCATTCTACTTTACGTTAATTTGCAGTTACAATTTATTCGTATTAATGTACTAACCGGGTAGTCATCGTCGACTTTGTCCATTGCATTCTTCTTTGTTATTACATTAAAATCACTATTTAATCGTAATACTAATTGATATTCACTGAGAACGTATAAACATTACCTCTCGAATAATAACATATATTATTGTGTATTACGGAATTTATATAGGTTTTCAAAATGTTATTTAAACATAAGTTTGACTCAAACGTTATAATTAAAAACAAATAATTTGTAGGAACTATGGCAAAATATTATTTTTTTCAAATGACGTAATACAAAATGTTTTTTAAAAGCGAGATAAGTAGTTTGTACAATAACGTTTGCATTATAAATGACTATTGAACATAAACATTTCATGTCACACTACTATTATGTGTATCTCGAAGAAAATGACAATTTAGTATTCAATGTAAGTTTACAAATGTATCGCACATACGTATTTTGTTGACGTAATAATTTATACATATATCAAACTTACAGGTATACATTTTCAAATTAGATTCTTTGATAGATTTTCTAATAGATGACATTGTTTCCTTATCGTTTTTATATTTCTTTATATGTTTATTATATCAAATTAATTAAGATAAAGATTAGATCAAAGGCATCTAATTAATGAATATAAATGTTGATTTATTTTACAGAACACTGCTTCTTTTATGAAACAGCAAGATAGTAATATGACTGGAATCGAAGATATTAATTCGCCGGATATGGATGTTAATGTGAGAACTTCCGCACCTTCGTATTACGGAAGAAATATGACATTTCCTCGGCCAGCTTCATCTTACGCTGATAGGCACGAACTTCCGGCCGTAGTTATTGAAGGAGAGAATAACAGACTTCTTGTAGAGGTAAGAAATAATGTCATTACTTTGTGAACGCTTTCTCTTAGCTCGATCTTAAATTCGTGTGCATTTCTTAGTGGTGTAGACCGTGACGTTTTCTATACCATTCAGTACTCTTTTTGTTTTTTTCTTGATTTTCTCTTTCTTTCTCTTGAAATTTATGATTGCAACAGTGTATCAATGTATAACTGCATTTTTTGTACAATAAAAAAGTAAGTAATATACACGTATATATTATATAAATATTTATAATAATTTTTTATTCATTTTTTACGTAGATATGTTCTTTAAATAATTAGAAGAAATTGTTTTCTAGCAACAAGAAAATAGTTCATGCAGCGATGGTCATTTATCCGGAGTAATGCCAGATGTAGCAATGGCTACTGCATCGTTTGGAGCATTACAATTGATGGAACATCAAGAATTGGATCTTGGCGATGGAACGTCACATATTCTTCAACATATTTCACCTTCGACCGGAACAGTAGGTCTAAATCGTTCTTCGCTTCCTCGTCAACATCAAGGACATATTTCCGCCCCACCTCCTCTGCCATACGCGTACCAACGTACCGTCACTGCCTTACCGAGGTTTATTTAACATTTATATACAATATGAAAGAAATGGAAAGAATCCATTTATGAAAAGAGAGAAGAAGAAGAAGAAGAATATATCTTCTTTTTTGAGATACGGCACGGCGTATCAGAAAACAAAAAAAAACCGTCTTGTTACTGCGGGTACAAATCTATTGCAAGAAGAAAAGGAAAGAAAACAAGGAAGAAGGGGGGAAAAAAAAAGAAAGAAAAATAAATCTGTATTTAGATTTTAATTATATAAAAAAGAGGGAGGGATGTCATGTCGCGTTCAGAGCCTAAGAAAGTAGTTAATATTAAGTTCCATTTATTTCGATAATTATGATATAGTGTGAAAAGAATTATTGCTTAAATAGTTATTAGAGATGCACCGCATGCGAGATTATGCGGCGCTGTGACTTATACATTTGTGAACTGTGAAAAATGTTTGTTGCTATGAGCACAAAAGGGAAATGTGTTCATATGTATATGTGGGTGTATTTATGTGCGTATGCATGTGTTTATTCTTATTAGTATTTACTTAAATTCGTTATGATGATGTAGCTAATAAACTTCGATGAAATGCATATATCTCAAATATGATGATGTATTTTAACATTGCAGACCGGGTCGCGAAACTTTGTTTTTGTTTTTTTTTTTATTTTCATCGATTTCTTTCGTTATTTTCTTTTTTAACGTGTTAAACGAAAAGCCTCTTTCATGAAGCTTTAAATTTAGGTCACAATGATCTGTCAGTTATAGAAGATCGTTGAGACCGGCCCAATGTGACGTTTAACGTGTTAAAAAAAGTTCAAGGAAATTTCATTTAAACTAGTAATTGGTCCATAATCGAAATAGAAATTAATTAAAAAGTCTAAAATAAAATACAATAAAAAGTAAAAAAATTCATTGACATATTAAATTAAAATTGGAATCATCGAAACAGCAATTTTGTCGATGATTAGTCGGACCTTGGTCTGCAATGTATGAAAATATGCAAAGCGGTCTATATTTTCATAGAATTTAAATTCTATGGGAGATCATTTGCTGACTGATATTATCAATAATGTACAATAAAGCGTTTAATTTTTATATATGTATATTTCTATCGTTCGGAATATATACATATATGTATATGTATGTATTTAAGTTCTCTTAAAAACCGAACAAATCTTTTATGTAATTCCAATCGTATATAACACCATAGAAAAATACTCGTTCTTGAATTTTAATAATGGCTTTATTAGTCTCGTTTGATTTTATTTATTGTGGTTAAAGAAAAAAAAAAGAAAGTAAAAAAAAAAACGATATACTTTACAATGCATAAAAAATAATATTTGTTTATAATTACGAAAATAGGCATTTGTATATTTGAAAATTGATTTTTTTCATCCCCTCTCGGATGAAGCTTCTCTCAACCAACCCCTTACTCTCTCTCCACCCTTCGCCTTGAGCGTCTTAGAAGAAAAAAAATAAAACATTCTCCGCTGTTGATATTCTATAAAAAGCAGCATTATATTATTAATACGGGAACCATTAGCCATTTAAATGTGCGTGCATATATATATATATATATATATATATATATATATATATATAGTTATAAATAATAGAAAATTATTCCACGGGAAACTATCTTTGTATCTATATTAGAATTGTTTTTTTATATTATTCGCGATAAATTAAATTGTTTTATTTTTTATTATTGTTTCTATTCATCTTTATCTCTCTCTCTCTCTTTCTCTCTATCTCTCTCTCTCTCTCTCTCTCTCTATCTCTCTCTATACAAAGGTGTTCAAGAAAATTGCATTTTTAAATGTTCAAAAAGAAAAAGAAAACTATTCTTATTTTTATTTTTTAATTTTTTTTAATTTTAATTCTTATTTTTTTTTTTTTTAATGAGCCTATACAAGGGTATACGCAACTAGATTCTCAAGAGTTGCATATAACAAAAGTTTTAAAGGAGATACTATTTTTATATAAAACAAGAGGAAAAAAAAATGAAACAAAACGAACAAACAAATACATTGTAACACGAGAAAAATGTTATTATGCTATCTCCCCATCGTAATAATAAAGATAATAATAAAAAGAAATAACAATACAAATACATACTTGCTTTTGCAGTTTTATAAATGTATACTTCTTATATATTTCGAATATACGTTTCTTTTTAAAAGCTTTATGCCTATAAACATTTAATTTTATTTATTATACCTACTTATCTTTTATTATTATGTCTTAGTTTATAACGCGACAGTAATATATTATTTGACAATGAAATTCTAATGAAATGTAAATACAATGACATATTGTATTTATAAATAGTATATTATCGAGAAAAAGATTATACATTTAAAAAATATTATTATACATTTCGTTAAAATATAATTTTGAAAAATTTGTTAATAAGATATATATATATATATATATATTTATATTTTATATTACATTTTTCTTAAAACTTTTAAGAAAACGTATATTCATGAAAAATAATATTACTTCCGAATAAAAATAAAAAAATTAGTTTTTAAAGTAATATACTTTTAAGTATAATTAATAGAACACACACGCACACACATTAAGAACAAAAATGGTATAACATTTTATTTTATATTTCATTTTATATTTTGCTTCACCATCTCTTATCCTCGATTAATTTATTTTTAAATTCAATTAACGATATCTTTCTTCTTTTTTTTTTTTTTTAATTTTCTTATAATATAAATAAAAAAAATCTTCTAACAATTTAAAAAAAAAAAAAACCATTGTATGTAACGTACCGCTCTTTTGCTCCGTT